CAGTCGTCAAAAGACTGATTTAAGAAAACAGGGAAAACTGTAGCAGTAACTGTACCCTCTCTTGTTTGTTTTGTTAATTTATATTGGATGCTAATACATTTCAGCTATTAATATTACAGTTGTTCTAAGAACCTAATACTCATTATTATAATCATTTTTTTAAATTGTCAGAAATATTCTAATTATGGAATATTTAAAAGGAAGATAATTTGCTACGTTGGAGGCATCACTAAATAAGTATGACCCATTAACATACTTCCCTGTGCTCTAACTTGTAGCCAGATGTGAAGGGACTTGGCTTTTTCCTGTAGGCCGTGACACACTTCTGTACAGGGAAGATTTCATTTGGGGGCTGCATACAGGATGGATTCACATGGAAAATGTGTTGAGGAAAGATGAGCCAGTTGGGGGTTAATGGCAGTAATCCAGACAGGAGGCTCACCTGAAATGGCGAGCAGGTGTCCGCTGGGCTTGGGGGTCACTAATAACATGCACTGTATGTAACTCTCAGCTACTGTAGCAGTTTTTTGATTTGGTCACACCGCCTTAATCTTTTCTACTATTCTCTTAAACTGCACTCAAACAATCATTTTTTGGTCTTATACCCCCTGCAAGATGACTAACTCCCTGAAGACATAAATTACTTCAGCACAGATGCTAAATTAATGGTAATTTAATTTAAAAAATATGTGCATGGGGCCACTTATTTCAACAATGTAACTTGTGAAGACAAAAAATACAGTGGGGTTTTTTTAAACTATTTTTTAAAAGATTCTTACAGAATTTAGGAGACATTATGTTAATTAAGTATATTACCAGCTCTCAAATGTGTGATCATGGCATCATGAGAACAATTTTTATTTGGTAAATGATAAAGCAGTTTGAAATGAGTTGGTTCTTTTACTTACATCTTTGGTTTAAAAAGGTCAACTCATCTATTATTTTTTTCCTCTCAATTTCTTTTTGAAAAGAATATATGATTTTTTTTTAATGTTCAAAAGCAGGAAAACTGAATTTTTGTTTCGGATACATACATGAAGGTAAAACTTGTATGTTTTACCTTCAAAGCAAAACATCTATACACGTTAAAAACCTAACTTTCAGACCTGGTTAACCCAGGGACTTAATAACACAAAAACAGTTACCTGTCAGGGAGAAGTGATGAGGAACAAGAGACTCTAAGTTCCTGCTAATGTTAATGTCCCAGTTCTTAAGGAACAGGAAAAATGGGTTGCTATTCTTTAAATACACATTTTTAGATATAGGATAATACCTCACATTAAATAAAAATTATTTCTTCCTCTCAATTTCAAGATTAAATTATACTTCCTACCCCAAAAGTGGCCAAGATGACAAATAAACTAAAGATTAGGGCTTATACTGAAGATAAAAATAAACTTACAGAAAACCAAAAAAGCATATAGCCAAATCACATAACTACACAGTAACACTGTTAGTACAGTAACAGAAAAATAAATTTCATGCAAGCTAAATTCCACTCTAAAATTCTAAAACACTCCAACCATAATTTTCATCTTCCTAGGTCCTTGCCTTCATAGTGTTGTGCCTTTATAAGGTGTAACATAAATTTCTATTCACTTGAATTTCTAAGCCAGGGAACGCCACTAAGAATTATCATTTAGACCAGAAGTCTGAACATTCACAGCTACCAGACACATACCTGAATTTAGGAAGAACTGGGGAGGGTCTCCATGAATGCCCACTGTGCCGGGTCCCAAGGAGTCAGACAGGGTATTTACAAAGGAGAAGACTCCACTCATGATCCCAAACCCCAAGCCAGAAACTAAAGAGGAAGAAAAACACTGTTAAACCCTATCTGTGATGTGATTTCTCTTCAAATCAAATTCCCAAGGACTAGGGAACACTATCTTAATGAAGGGTGGATGTACTGTTGGAGAAGCAGCGGAAAGCTCAGAAAAGGCAAGTGCTTGTTTAAGTGATGAACTGAGAGAAAAGGGGTGGGGGCGAGGGGTTAGGAAAGGAAATGAACAGTGAAATGTAGCAAAGAAAAGATTAGAAAGGTTCAGAAGCGACAGATGAGACAGAAGGATCCGATACTGAAGCTGCGGCTCTAATTTATAACAACAGAGTCTAGAGTTAAGTTTGATGGAACTAAGCATGAGGGAGTGACAGTGTATTTTAAAGAGTGATCCCTGGGTCAAGCTGGGTGACTCAACATAGGGACCTGGATCCAACCTTTAAATCATAATTCCAAAAGAAAAATATACAGAGGTATTAACTTTAAGTGTACTAAAAGGAAGAGTCCTCTTCCAGTACAGCCAAAGTCATGATAACAACCCAGAGAAGGTAAAAGTAACACCACTTAGAAATTGTTAACTAGAGTGTATACGTGTTAAAAAATCCAACTGTCAAATATGGTTAATACTTAATAGATACACAGGTAAGGGTCACCTCCAATCACTTTCCTTTACATGGAAAGCTAGAAAAATTAACAATGGGCCCTGAAAAGCTAGAAAAATAAACAACGTACACCAATAGGCCAAAACAGTGGTAATATTTTATTTGAAATCTACAAAGATATAAAAGATAAAAATGGCTTTAATGTCAAGTCTGATTTTGTTTTCTTAACGACAGTATGCAGTTCTAACTTACCATAAGCCAGCAATCGCATAGATGGTGCTGTCTCATCTGGGTTTATACTCTTCAAGCCCTCACTGGCTTTTCTAAAGTAAAACCACATAGAAAATTTCTTGAAGTAGTTTATCAGAAAACTACATAAGACATTTTAAAACCCAGATACTTAATGCCGATTTTGATCAGGTTATACTCTAAATCTAAATAAAATCCATTTAAATCCAGCAAATTTTTAATTAACTGAAATCAACCAAAATTTCGAACCAACTTTTGCCTTTTATCTGATATTCACAAAGAAGAGAAAAAAATTATAACAAACCATCAGGGACTGAGTTTAATAAGGAAAAAAGCACAATACTTTCCTCTTCCCAAAGTAATTTATCTTTAATCCCACTTTGTTGGTACTTTGTTGTATCTTCCGCCTGAGTTATACTCATTCTGACACCCTCCCTTCTAGCTTCCACTTCATAGAATCTAAAATGTACTCATTCTTCAAAGTCTAGTTCAGGCAACAAATTCTCAAAGAATCCACCTTTACCAATGATTGGTAACCACTCAACTCTCCTTGGTCTTAAATCCTACAATACTGACAGTCTGAACTGTCATATGGATACTTAATCATATGGTCTTCTAATTCTAAAATACTGTTTCATAGTCCCAATCAAGCTTCAGGGAAGAAATAATCGGGGAAAATAAAATCTGACCGTCAGGAAAGGAGATAAATGAACACCTGAATGAAATATTAGACTACTGCTCAGTATGAAATGATCTTCAGAATGATCATATCCACACTTCTGTTGTGGACAATTGGCAAACTTACCATAACCCTCTGTCCCCATGCAAATGTGTTAGGCATGCAAGGTGCAGCTGGTCGGTTCCATTTTTGTCACTATTACTAACCCTTGTTGGCGAGAAACTCTATAACAATGATACTGACTCAAAGGATACTTAAATTATATTTACTGTAAAGTATATTCATTAAAGCAATGAAGGAACCAAACATCTTAGAATGATTTTTCAGCAAGTGCTGAAACAAAAATGAGTTAGATTAACTCTAAGAAATTAACCAGAACATAGTACTTATATTCTGGGTATTGTGTTAATTTAAATTTCAAAGTATGCATATTCATTACAGTGGGCCTATTCATCACAGAAATATAAATAGTGATCACATTAAATCAAGGCAACGCAGAATTCAACCTGAATAGTAATAAGCATAATGAAAAAGATCTTTCGCTATTCTAGACTCAATTTGCCACTTCAGTGCTCTCCATTCGGAAGCATCATTTGGTAGCAAGGACATGAGTCAAAACTTAAGTGACTGACATCTTCTCTGGAGCAGTAAGCAACTAAAATGTCTTTTTATCTTAAATAAAATAAACTTATCTGTCAGAGGAATGAAGGCAAATGAATGCCTAGAGATCTATATAACAGCAATAAGCTCCATCAACAAATAGATATAACGGTACAATACAATCAATAAATTCTGGAGGATTTCTGTTTTATATAAATTGCTCAGTAATGAAAAAAGGGTTTTGCTATTTAGTATAACAAAGTACTGCTATCACAAATATATTACACATATAAATGTAAAATTTTAATAAACGCCCTCGTTCTATGGGAAGGAAAGGTCTGTGGCACCAACCATTCTCAATGCTGACATGAGGAAGTGAAAAAGCATAAAACACCATCAATTTCCACATTCCTGATGGATAGAACACACAACTGATGATGTAAGGGACAGTGTTCTTAATTTAACCGTCTTACTGAAATGGAAAATACTTTTTTGCATTTGTCATTGTTTCCAAGAACAAAAAAGAAAAGACCCAATTTTTAAAATACACACTTTGAAAAACTACTGATCAATCATACCAGCTTTCCCACGTGTTCTGATTCATTTTGTATGTGTGTGTAGAGGAAAATTACCAAGGAACATGCATATAAAGTAAATCCACTATTTTAGAAATTTTTAATAGACATGCCTTTTAAAAAATTATAGCAATGACTTAACACTTTTTCTACAAATGATTTTCTAAAGTTACCAAATATTTATGGTATCAACATTATAAGACAACTGAATTAAATTACCAAAGCTTCAATACAAGCCAAAAAAGTTCTAATGCATGTTTTAGGCAATGTGCAGGACCATAATTTGGAATTTTTTAATTAACATAGAAAGGGCTATCACCTGTGGCCACACACCAATTTCTCTCGGTGCATGTCTTTGCTAGACTGAAAGTTACAATTCATTCATTCAAGATGGAGCACTGTTCCTAAGGCCTAACCCATGAAATATATTTATATTAGGCTACAATGATAAATCCTTTTTATTCAGTTCCATGTATGTAAAAAGACTGGTGCAAGCTCTCCACATTTTAATGTTGGTACCAAATTCAGATAGCAAAAGTTCGATTGAGGCAGAATTTTGACCTTAAAAGTTCAAAACCTACTCTGGCAGTGAAGACAATTAAAGTATTGATTAGCCCGAAATTCCTATATTTGAATGTAGGGTAGTCTATGAGAGCAACTTAAATGGATCTATATAAATGTTGGTCATGAATAAAGTACCATAATTCTCAAATTTGTTTTAACACATAACTATATAACACCCAACATTTCTAAAATTTGCTAGGAAAATACGGTCCCATATTCCATAGGCTTGCTGCCGACCATTTGTAAAGGCAAACAAAGGCACTTGTTAATACAGGCTTGTCCTACTAGCTGCTTGCAAATCCCCTAAAGTCCTTTCAGGGGAGCAAACCTGGTTTTCCCAGAAGGCCAAAGAGGCTTCTCTGAACTTGCTGGCATGAGAACCCACAGACTGACAGCCATAATTTCTTCTGCATGTGGCCCTACACCCTCACTGCCCTCCTTAAAAATGACAACCCATGTTCAAATTGTCGTCCTTCGGAACCTTAGGTTAGTGCCAATATAGGGCTGCTTTTCAGGTGGAAACGGTGAAGAAACACGGTAATGAGAAACAGCAGGTACCCATCCAGCCAGTCCAGGTGAGTGAGGTTCTAGAACCTCGAGTCCTAAGGGGTTCCTAAACCCCTGCCCTAATCTGTGCAGAATCTGTTGAAATTAAGTTTGTTTCAAATTAGAACCATCACATGTGAAAATGCAAAACCAACACGAGCCAATGATGTTGCTGACAGGAAAATCCAGTGCAAGCGGAGGCTGAGTTGTTAGGAGAACGGTGCCTGGTCAAGGGTGGGAGGGGCTCTGCTCTCTGCACTACAGCACAGGTAAACCCCGGGCACCCACAAAAAGGGATGTGTCCACTGACATCAAAAAACAGAGACTGGAAAAGGTCTGGAACCCATATGCATGTCTTCTGAGGGTCAGGTGAATGAGGGCTATTTAAATAGCCTTGAAAGAGACAAGATGACAACTGTGTGACAGATTTCATTTGTCTGTGCAAAGAAAAGGTCAGAAAGAGGGAGATTTTGATTACCTTAATATATTCAAGAGTTACTACCTTTCCAAAATTTAATTTTAACTGGTACCCGGTTATGGTCGAAGTAGGGCAGAGAGCAGTTACTGTCAAACCAGAAACATTCAACCACAGCTGAATGCCCATCTGTTAAGGATACTTTATTCCTGTGGGAACTAAAATGTTATCTTTGATTTTTGTTTGTTGATCTCTAATATTTCCAGGAACTAATGGAAATTTCATTTTTAAACCTTATCTAAGATATGACTTTGGCTTCTAAACAATGACTTCCTGGTTTTCTACTTGTGATTTAAACTGCTTCATTATTAAGTTTCAGTATGTTACTAAAAGCAACAAGTCAAAAATAGAGAAGGGCTTGGCTTATTGGCAAGAACAAATTATCATCTATTACTGTAAGAGATGTTGTTGAGGTTCTGTCTTGGTTACAACTATGAAATTCATAAAGTGCTTTAATTACCTCATTTGCAGAAGTAAAGAGACATAGCATATTTATCACTCTACTAACTAAGCCTTAGGACGTAATCAAAGCCAAACTCATGACTGCCTGAAAGAAAATATGGTTCCATGGTCAAGCTGCGTTTCAGATCGGTGGTTTCATGTGAGATCCTCATAGGATCCTACAGATAACCTACTTTCTGGCCTACAAAGGGAACTCATGCTTTAAAAAAAAAACTTTTTAAATGTATTTTTCTATTATGTACGTGAAATCACATGGCATATCACAAAATGAACACACTTCCGTCGAATACAGTCAAAATAATGGCAGGCACAATAGCCATAGAATTAATTACTTTTGGTGGTGTCAAGGAGAAACACGTGTAAATTCTAAACTGGAACAGTTTTGTTGTTTCAATGACTATTTCTCTGGCTTATTTTTCTCCATGGGACTTATTACCTTTTAAGATACAAGTATTTTCTTGTTCATTCCTTGGCTGTCTCTATTTCCACTATAATTTTACCTCTATGAGACTGTTTTTCAATCATGATGTATCCCCAGTACCTTGGGTACTGCATGGTATTGAGCAAATTTTCAAGAAATCTTTTTTGAATGAGTGAAGGAAGAAATGAATATCCAAAAGTTAAAACACTCAATTATTTTCAGGCTGGAAATGTACAATCCCTTGGTGTCAAACTATGTAGGAAAACATGGCACCTCAAATACAACGGTATATTAATGTTTCAAACTACTAAATCATAATTCAAATAAAAAATGGTTTTAAAAAAAGGTAAAGCAAACATTTAACTTACTTTAAAAGTTTATAATATGCAAACCGGAACATTTCTTGGATAAGGACCGAGGCTAACACTCCAAAGATCAACAGATATTTCTGTACCGGTCCATCTTTGTTGTCAGCAATGGTTGATGCCATGAACCAAACAAAGGAAGAAAGCAGCAGAGACACCAACCAGAAGAAAGCTCTAAAAATGAGGAGGAAAAAAAAAGTTACAAGTGAGCAAGATTAATAATGATTTAAAAGCAGAAAAACAAGCAAACAAATCCTGCTTGAGAAGGAACAGATTTCCTGACAAAAAAAGTATTCATGAATCAACTGTTCTTAATCAATGGTGCAGTTTTCCTGGTGAAATCAACAGTCTGGGAGGGTACAGCTCAGTGGCACAGCACGTGCTTAGCGTGCACGAGATCCTGGGTTCAATCCATTAAAACAAACAAAAACATGCAGTCCAAGAGGAACTTGAGATTTTTCCTAAAAATCAACTTTTTTTTTTCCCCGTGACCCTGCTATTTGTAAGTACATCTGCAGACTACCTGCCAAGGACGGTCTGGCTGAAAACTCGATTATTTGCTATGCTTTCTAATTAATGCTTTGCCCACTGATGTGCAAATGTCTTTTCCAGGAAAATGTCTACATCTCTGTTAACAGAATGACTGGTATAAAATCCAGAGGTTGGAAGCCTGGGCTCTGATCTAGGTCAGTTTTCCAGGCCGGGCTTTCACAACATTCCTGTGAGTTTTTATGATTATAACTAAGCTTTACAGAATTTGTGCCCAGATCTCTATTTTTAAAACGACACGTGTGATGCAGCACTTTCAGTACAGTTGTGAGAGGTGAAAAAGTTCGGAAAAAGTGGAAATCACTGGCCTCGTCTGACCGTTTCTCCTGGTGCCAAGTGAAACTCAGTGGTGGAGAGAGTCGAGGGGAGCCCCAGTAAGAGCTCCCAGACAGATGACTGCTGGGACCATGACCGCATTCGCCACGGGAGTTCGGTATTTACCAAGCTCCTGCAAAAAAATGCACTACAGCTGTTGCGGGGTTTTCACAGGTTTTTCTACCCTTTGGCTGCTCACCTGAATCACCTGGGACACTTTAAAACGTTCCGTAGTCTGAATCCCACCCCGCTAGACACAGTCGATTGGGCACCTGCATGTTTTAAAGCACCTGATCCCTAGGTGCTTAATGGCTTTTAACCCGCTTGGGATTAAAAATGCCCGTCAGAATCTGAGGGAAATTAGTTAACCCCCTTCTCCAAAAAAATAAAAGATGCATATACGAATTTATCCACAAAAATGTCCATTCGGCTTCAGTGTGTGACTCACTGAAGCCCATCCACGGACCCTAGGCTAAAGCTCGGCAGTCAGGCGCCAGGGTTTTCCGGGACCCACGGTGTGGGCTCCTTCCCCAGAGCCCGCACTCTGGGGTCGCGGGGCTCTCGCTCTTCTCCCGCCGCCCCTCGGAGGAGGGCGAGCAGTCCCAGGGAAGCGGGGTCTCCGCCCTCCCCGTCCCTGCCCTTCTCCCCTCCAAAGCCCAGCGCGGTCGAGCAGTCCGGCAGGGACGCCAGGGACCGCCGGTACCACCGGCGGGGGAGGGGAGCCCCGGTCTGGGTTTCCCCGCGCAACCGCCTTACCCAATGATGAGGAAGATGACGCGCAACGGCTCGGTGGCGATGGTGAAGATGTAGAGGGCGAGCGCAGGCCCGAA